AAGTGACAGGCTGAGCATCCATACCCACAGTTTCTCAAGTGCTAAACTGCTTTTTTAGCAACTGAAGCTTCTCCTCCAGATGCAAAGAAAGGCCTTCTTAATTTCAGTCTAGTAACTAATATAAATTTTAAAACAGATGGCTGCTAAGGAAAGAAAGTGCTTTTCACCTTCCCGTCTCTGAACAGACTAGAGGATCAAAAGAAGTGGCTACTTGTAGAAGTCAGCAGACAGTGGTCATATTTGTTACCTCAATTAATTAGCCACAGATAACACTTCCTTCACTTGAGAGCCCAGTTTGAAATCCAACCCCATTTTTCATTAAGTTAATATTTACGATAATTAAAGTTTTCTGTATCTAACTAAAGTTGCAGTCAGCATCCAAGCAGTTTCACACAAAATCATGAAGATTGAATTAATCAGCCATTAAATATCACCCTCTGTCAGGAAGAAAAAAAGTGTAACAATAAAAATAACCAGTCCTCTAATTATTAGAGGATTCCTTGAATATGTATGTCCCTTGTCAGCATTAACAGATACAGTCAAATTTGTACTAAGCTGCAATTCAAAAGGGCTCAAAGATAACCAACCATTCAGAATTAACCTCTTTCAAATATCCAAGACAAAATTAAAAATAAATTATTCTAGTCAAGGTGTTTTGCATGCTGATTTAAAATGTGAGTGAATCTGTGATCGGTAGGACTTTTAGTCCATGCAGTGTGCCATTGGTTTGAGGATTTGGCAGTTTCTTTGTATTGCATCTCATTCCCCACTAATCTCCTTGCCGAAAAAGGTACCCTGCTGCCCCTTTCCTTCACAACTTGGCCTGTTTTTTCATTTTGCCAAGGACAAGAGCATTGCTCCACTTCTTTCCAGACATCATTTTTCACCCTTCCTCAGTATCCCTCATAGGGTATATCCGAGTCTTTTGTAAAGTACAAAACAATATCTTTTTAATTAGAGGAGCAAGGACAGTGAATGTAGAGCTCAGCTTAGATGTTAAGACTTCAAACTCTTCAAGACAAGGACTGTCTTAATTTTTTATGTTACAGCTCCACACAGATAGTTAGTAACACACAAGTAAGATAAATGGTGAAAATGTTCAAATCACTCCAAACTATCAGCAGGAAGTAAAGGCAGGCTGTCCTCAGGCTGTCCTGCATAATAATATTTCTAGGAGGGAATCTAGTTCTCCAGCCAACAAACATTACATAGCTCCATTATACAGACATCTCATACTTAGTGCATGCAAAGTATGTACAGAATTCCCCACAAACCATTGCCAAAAGGAAGGCAAACTACAGTAGATCTATCCTTCTCATTTTCCCACCTTATTCCTAAAACAGAAAAAAAGAATGGTTTGGCCTCTGGTTCACAGTGCTTTCTTATTATCATGAAAAGAGGCAGGACAGTGACGGTTAGTAAAGTTACTGACTAGTAACAGGAAAAAAAATTAAAAACCAAGCACTATGCAATTTAACTTGACAGTGCATTCAAAGAAATGGATCAGGATATAAATTTGAAAGGAGAGTGATACTTCTTTCAGGAATATATAGGCATCATCTATTTACGGTTGGACTTGATGATCTTAGAGGTCTTTTCCAACCTTAATGATTCTATGATTCTATACTAAGGAGAAAAATAATCAAATTGGAAAACAAAGTGAGAACAAGATCATTTTAGAAATCAGGTATTTTTGGCCAAGATTAAAACATTCCTTTTTTTTTTTTTTTGTTCAAAGATGCATTAACACTGTTCATTTTGCAAGCAACAGTAGCGTGGCGAGAAATTAAGAAAGATATCATTTGAATTAAGAATGTTCTGTATGGAAGATTATTATTACAGGCTAAGAAAGGGCAGATTTAGGCACAGTGATCTGAGGCAGAGAAAGCTCTTCCAGAAAATAATGGGAGTTCCTTTGGTTTGCACTATAATTAGGCACATAAGATAATCTGTTACAACTCAGATGTATGAGCCTGTTCTCAAGCATTAATGTTCAAACGATCGGTACCTGTAGTGGTAGGGTGGACAGCATTAAATCTAACATGTGTCCTCATTGTCCATTAACTCTTCTAAAGTAATGAACAACTTTAATAAGGGGGTGAATATCAATACGTTTAGCAATAGAGTAACGGTACTGATATAACTCTGTGCTAGTAGTAAAACACACCTACAGTCCTTGGCAGTTTTTTTGTGTAACTGGCTGTTCTTCTCTCCTAGGTGGTTGTCTTAATTACTGAAACACAGTGCAAAAATTATACTGAAGCTCTAATACACATAGCGCACAATAAATTAATTACAAGGAGGATCATTGCTAAGAGGGAAATTGAGTGTAACCTGGATGAATACCGTTCAGGTGTTCAGTGTTGCAAGAAATGTGAACGTGGTGAGTATCATTGTAAGACTGTGTTGAAAAGTCACTAAGAGTGGAAACCACAACATGCACAATTGTTTTCTGCTGGGATAGCTAAGTGGCATGCTGTGGTTTCCTGGATGCAGTGCTTCATTCTAGCTGTATCTTTCTCTATGACAGGACATCAGATGCTTCAAAAGTATTTCTTGAGCTCAGTGCACCAATAACTTTTCACTACAGACAGTAGTTCTCACATAACATGCTTGTCACAAAAAAGCCAAGAATTACATACACATCTTTGAGAGAGGTTAAAAAAGTGCAAGCACAGGCTTTTGCCTACAAGACTCCATATATTCATGGGTTTTCCAATTTTGCATGTACAGTTTTGTTTGATGTGTTCTCCTTCAGTCCTAAATTGCAGAAAGAGGGGGGATAATCAGATCTTATGTATACTACGTTCCTGAAGAGCATATATATATATATGCGTAAAGAATATAGATTCTGTCCATATTTGTAAATCAAAAAGTATTAGGCATTAAAAAAAATCTGACATAGGTCTTAGAGCTGATGGCTTCTGTCCAAAGGTATTGCAAATCTTAATTCTTGTTTTTCTGTCTCTACAGGTTTTGTTAAAAACATTGACTGCCCAACAGATATTGGCAAACACTGTGTTCAATGTGAAAATGGAAAGGAATATGTAGATCATGTCAATGATTTGAACAAGTGTTTGAGATGCTATTCATGTGACAGCATATTCGGTATGTCTATGGAAATAGCAATTCCAGCAATGACTCTTTTTTGATATAGGATTTGACTGAAAAGTCTCCACAATTCCTGAATAGTGTGTAGCATGCAGATTAAAATGTTTTAGTGGTATTACATGAAGGAATTTATGACAAAGTCATAAGTTTATCCCCCAGTTCCCTTTTGTCAGGCACAAAGTGGGAAGAAGAACAAGCTATGTTGGTCCATTATTTTCCTTTTATCTGTCTTTGCTCAGCCAAAGCAGTCCTTGCAAAGCAGAGCCTAGACAAACTGGTTAGAGTCAAGGAAGAAGAGCGCTCTCTTCTTCGCCCTCTAAAAGAAGAGGGGTGTTGTAAGAAGCAGGGATGGGAGAATTCCCGATGGTTAATTTCGTAGTCTTTCATGTATTTAAAATTGCTGGAGCTGATAGAGTGATGTCTTTTATACATTCAAGATGCTGTGTGAGTTACAGGATCAAATTATGAGACTATGAGGCATGCCCTACTGGGTCACACCAGTGGTCCACCTACCCCAGTATTCTGTGTTCAGCAGTGGAGGCAAGAGATGCTATTTAGAGGAAACACAAACCAACGTGTCTACTTTCTGTGGTCTGTTCCCTGCAAAGTCTACCAACATCCACAGTTGTAGGGAAGGATGTTAGAAGGTCCATCCCTACCTAGTCATTTTAGTATCCATTTATGAGCCCTTTGTGCGTGAACCTGCTGGAGGACACCAGGTTCCAGAAATTTACTACCTGTTGCATAAATACCCATCATACTGGTTTTTGTTTTTTTTTTTAAATGCATTAAACTGATCTCCTACCATTTCCACCAGGTATCCTGTAGTTCTAGTATACCTGGATTTAGGGAATGATAGTTCTGCATTCCTCATATCCAAAGTCAAGTTTGGTGAGCGGAGAGACAGCTCTTAACTCCGATATGGTTGTAGTCAGATCACCTGCTGGAATATCAATCTTTAGTGCTTTCCCTTTCCTGCAATACCTCCATATGCGTAGAATATTTTCCTCTCATTAGCTACTATAATAAGCATTTTTGGATGGGTAATGAAGTTGAGTGCAGCAAAACAATTCAGCATTTTGTACAGTGCCACAAAGGAAACTATTAGTTAAACTGAAGGGGAAAGAAACGGTAATGGGATGACTAGTCACATTATCCCGTGGACAATGTAGTTGAAGAGAAGTCAGTAGAAAACATTAGGCAGGAGGAAAGTTACCACTGAAGTCCCATGAGAACCATTCTTAGGATCATTCATGTTTGATATTTTCATGAATGGCTTCAGCACTGATTTTACAGTAAAGCTTCCTCAAATTTTGAAAGATAACATGTTTTCCCGTTACAGCAGGGCACTGAATGTGATAACTCAAAAATTCGCTTCTATTCCCATATGCCTATGAAAATAGCTTTCATAGTAGGTAGATACTTAAAGTAATTTTTAATGCAGAAATATTTTTCATAGATGGAGATAGCTTCATCATATACACTGAAGATAGGAGAAAATTAATTCACTTGTTTTGATACTTAAGCAGGGAATACGTTAGCTAAAAGAGAGTGGAATTTCTCAAGAAGGAGGAATCGGAGGTCCTCAAGAAGAGATAAACTTGTCTGTCAGGGAGAGTAAAGAACTTGTCTCTGACATCAAGCAGGGAGATGGGTTATGTGATCTTCTGAGTTTTCTTCTGGCTTTACACTTCTGAATGGGAAAAAGAAGCTGACAACATTTGGCAGTGCCAAATGAGTCCTCGTTTAGCAAGTACTTTATCACGTGATCCGTTTTTTGAGCTCTTGGCCAGCAGAGGTCTCTTTGCCATCTCCGTATTTCCAGTATTCCGGCAGCAGGGCTCCTTATAAAAACTATGTTGTTCTTACAATTAAGCCTCACCAGTGCCAGCAGTGAGGAAAGGGCTAAAAGCACATAGGTCTGAGGACAAGAGCTTATGAGCAGAGGTCTGCTTTTAAGGCCTACTTTTTCGAACTAACAAACTTTAAGAAATTTATTTTAGGTTTGGAGGTTGCAAAGAACTGTACCCCAGCACAGAACACAGAATGCACCTGTGCAAAGAACCATTTTTGCAATTCTTCTGTACCATGTAGGCACTGTGATCCATGTACCATGTAAGTTTATGCCTTCATCGTTAAGTACGAAATTGTTAATATCACACTTTTTTCCAGCCAGCTTCAAGACAGAGGCTAACGTAATGTATAACCCGAGGAGAACATACTAGTTTTCCTTTGCACTTAGCTTGTTGAGCTGACTTAGCTCAGTCAACTTATTTTGCATCCATGCAGGCTTTCCAAAGACACGCAGAAAAACTTGTATACATCCACCAAGTCTGTATATACTTTTCAAAAAAATGTAATGAAGTATCTGAGCTTTCCTGTTGTCTTTGTGTGATCTACTGTTACATCTAGAAAATAATTTCCACACCTTTTTCCACTCCCATATCTTTCCATACCATTTTCATACCTATTAAATGCCAAACTCCAACATCTTGATATATGAAATATTTAGCTGATAAAAAGTGTTAGAAGATTTTAATTTGCTCTGTTGACAGAGTTTATAAAGAGAGAAACAAATCCCATAATAATTTTTATTCATGTTTTCTGCAGATGTGAAACTGGTGTAATTGAAAAACAATGTACTTCAACTTCAGACACTGTGTGCGGAAGGAAAGGTACCATTTTAAAACCTAGAATGGTCTAGCATCTGCTGTATTTTGAGAGGCTATTGCAATTGTACTGTTCTACATGATGGCCCATAGTGATTCCTGACAGCTAAGGGCATCATATCTACTGGGCCCTATACTGACCTGTGAAGCATGATTGCTCTTTTCCCTTGATCACTGTGCAGATGTAGGAGCTATTGCTCTTTTTTAGGGGCGACTCATGATAGGTAAGACTTTAATAAAGAGGTAACTTCTGCCATTAGGAGACAACAGAAAGGCATTTATAATCTGATGCTATCTTGTTTAAAATTTAGAGTGTGTTGCTGTCTTGCATTTCTTGACAACTTTCAGGTAATGTTTCCAACATTCCAACAGGAGTGCCATGGTGGGCCATTCTTTTGGGAATCGCATTAGTACTACTAGTACTAGCAGCTGGAGGAATATGCTTGTGTAAGTGATTCCCTATTCCTTATTCCTATCATACTCTGAATAAGATATTAGCTGCTTACTCAGATGTAATTTTATATTCTTGGAGTCCAGAGGAGAGATATACTCTGTCCTGGATTTTAAAAATGCTTTTTTGTTTCAGACAAGAGAAAACAGAAGGGTCTCACTAGCAAGGAGAACCTAGGTGAAGTAGTCCCCAAACCAGAGGCTTCTTATGTAAGTATTGTTGCTTAGATCACAAAAAAACCTCAGCTTCATGCAAGGAACTTAGTTCCATTTAAATTACATTGGGACTCCCCAAGCATGCCTCTCTTTAATTAAGTAAATTTCACCATGAGGACTCTTTTGGGAGAAGTAAGAGAAACCCTGTATTATTTCTTCAGGATTTGTTGACATGCTTACTAAGTTACATGACCAAGATCAAAACTTCATAAATCATCAGGCCTCCACTGACCCAGGGTACCTGTCCCCATGCGTACTTTTAGGCAACAGCAATTGTGAGGTGATTCCCCAAGCTTACCCAAGTCAAGAGAGGTCTGACTGTCTGATCTGATTCCCTCACTCATAAAACAGGGGAATCAAAACTAAAAGAAAATTACAGAAGTCAAATGTCATGAAATGTGTTTATCCTCTTATACAAGGTTGGTGTTTTACAAAACTTGTTTCTACTCATTTCTCTCTTGCTTCTCTTTTCAGGAGAATGTACCTCTCATATACACAGGTAAAAGACAAGTAATTTCTCAAAATTCAGTAGAAGAAAAAAAAAATACAGGAATGTAAATCTTACACTAAAAAAAAAGGGTATTTTTATGTAGACTTTGCCACTGCCTAGGGCTGTCATTCTAGCACAATAGAGAACGCTAACTAAAGAAATGCCAGTTCATATTGTGCTTATTAAGGCATTTAGTGGTATCATGAAAGTTTTGCCTCAGGAGGAGTTTCTGTTGTATAGGAAGCAATTACTAACTGACAACAGGTGAATTTCTGTTCTGCATGTGGTACAGACACTAGGAGGCAGCAAGCCGGATTTCTAGAATCATGGATAATTATGATAATGGAGTAGTCCCACACCCAGCAGTGGGATCGCAGAAACACAACCCTACCTTATGTTCAAGGGCAAATCCACAGTACTAACACACACTGGGAAAAAAACATAAGCTCCAAGGCTGTATCACAACAAAAGACCTGTTCCAGGACCTTTCCCAACACTGTTTTGAGCAAAACAGGTACATGAGGGATGACCAGACTTTAATGACAGAGAAGGACAGAATAGGTTACAGAGGGAACTGAGATTCTATTCCAAGTGGTAGAAAGCAATATGGATGCAACCCTAAATATTTGAATTATCTAGCATTTGGTAGGAACATGTAAAAGCAGACCTGCTATATATTGCAAAAAATCACATATAAAACATACTGAGTCATGGATACCTGAAACTTCATCTGTTTTGGATAGGAGAAGTATCAACTCTTGAGTGCAGGTGATAAAAAACAGTAAGATGTAAGCGCCAAGGGCATTAATTTCCTTTTATGCTTCTAGATGTTGACCTGAGCAGCCACATTGCTGGTATTGTGGAGGAGATGACACTCCAACAAGTCAAGACATTTGTTCGTAATCACAAAGTACCAGAACCTGTCATAGATCAAACTGTTCGGGATCATTTTAACGATACATCTGAACAGAAGATTAAGCTGTTTCAAGACTGGTATCAAAGACATGGGATAAAAGGAGCCTATGGAACCCTGATAAACAGCCTGAGAGAGTTTAAAATGTGCGCTGCAGCTGATAAAATTGAGGAAAAACTGAGGGCAGCTGTTTCCAGCTGTCAGGAAGGGGGACAGTATTATAATGATGACACTGAGCAAAGCAAAACCTACACTCAGGAAGGCAGAAACTCGTACAATGATAGTGCTGAGCTAAGTAAAACCTATTCTGGTAGTTTGGAAGAGACATAGCACAGAGTCATTTGAAAATTATTTCTGACTGAATTAGTATTTTTCTAATAATATAAGTAACAAAGCTTTTAAATGCCATTTTCATTGGCAGTTCTGATTGATTCAAAGAAGTTATAATACGAACAAGGAATAATTATGATTTTTGTAACAATATCTTTCCTTTAAAAAAAGTTTTAGCTTTTTTTTTGGTTGTTAAGAACTGGGAGGAGAAGTTTTATGGCTTGTTTACTAAAAGGTAGAATATAAGAGTCCAGCTAGAGAATTCACTACAAGAAGAAAGAAGCAGTAGTCATTATTTGAAGAAAAGGTTTAGTCTTAAGGTATGGTCCTGCATTACTTCATTGATGTAATGTTTTGCTTACATTAAAATTGTGGGATGTTGCATTTTTCAAAGTGAAAACTCTGGTGTTAAGAGTCTATGAAGTGCACCAGGAAGAACACTTGAACAAAAACAAATATATAATATACACCTGATTAATTTTGAATATAGGTGTTGCTGTGTAATTAAATTCTACTCTGTTACAAACGGGATTTCTCCCTTGTATAAAAGCACCTCTGTGTGTGTGTATACAGAGTTTTGTATACGTGTGTGTGTATTTCTATGTGTATTTCTATGTGTATATATACGTGCAAGTTTTCTATGCAAAAGCTCCCAGTGCTAAGTAATAATTATTATTCCCCTTGTTCTCTGCAATAATTGCAAGCCTTTTCTAATGTTAAAAACCTTCAAAGAAGCAGGAGCTGAAGCAACACAGCAGAACCATGATTTTTGGAAGGCAACCTGCAGAAGCTATGAAGTCTCCATAAGCAAGTGTGCAACACTAGCTTTTCTAACGCAGGAACTGATACAATGAAAACATCATTGTCATTAAAAAATTAAAAAAAATCCACATATTGCATGACTTCCATCTTTCCTTCTTATAGTGCAACCTATAGATGTCATTTTTAGGTTTTTTCTTTTACTCAGGTTAGTAAATCACAAAAAGGAAGATCACTCCTGAAAAAAAACACCTTACCTTTCTTCCATCACAGAGCACAGAGGGCTCGGCTCCTAAACTCAAAGGACCAGTAGTGATGGCTGCTTTGCAGCGAGGCCTTCCCACTCACACACCCATTCATGCAATCTTTCAGCAGAAGAGGAGACCTCGGCGGAAAGGTTTGATTTTTCCAGGTCACACAGTGAGCAGGATGACCTTCTTTGGCTCTGCTATCAGTTCCGTAGAGAGAATCTTCAGCCAGTGTTAAGACTCAGCCAAAACATGAGGAGGCCTGCCTGGGCGCACTCCCACCTGCCAGCCAGGGTGTGCCGGTGCGTGGGGTAGGGTCCAACTGCTGCCACCTGCCCCAGGGGCGCGGAAAGGGCAGGGCGGGTCTGGCAGCAGGGTGCCAGGTGCTGGCAATCAACCCCCGGGCAACGCCGGCCGCCCACAGCTGCGTGGGGCTGCTCCAAAAGGTCACGTTGCTGGAAGTGAGGTGCCTGGGAGGGCAGTGCGTGGGCCTTGCAAACAGCTAGAAACCTGTGTATGGCATTAAGCAGGAGCCTGAAAGGAAAGACAGGACTTAGATTAGCTTCAAAAACTTTAAGCCTTTCATAGACTTGACCTGTCAAAGGTATGGAGGACACAGCATGTTTTGTTGCCAAGCCCAGACCCAGTTTAGGTTGTACAGCTCTTCCCCAGGTCTCAAGCACCACATAGATGCTAAGCGCTTGGGAAAACCTTCCACCGCACTTCGGAGCCTCTTGCCTCTAATCTTTTTGCATTTTCTAAGTGTCTAATCAATCAGCTTGCCACTACTATACTGCCAAAATCCCCACACTGTGCTGCTTTTCAAAGGAAAACCTTCAGGCTGCTGTAGCTGGATGGTTTAATAGCCATATGCACCAGACTTGTGCACCTATGGACTGATTAAGGCATAGCATTATATAAATGACTTATGTCTGTGCTATCTGTGTACAGATCTAACATGCTTCAACAGTGTGTTGCTCATTGCCATGTTTTGGCCAGGCTCAACATATATAGGAGAACAAAACGTCTGCCTTTCAGAAAAGCAGCATGGCAATGGTGTAGGCTGTGCCATCTTTCCTAGGTTGGAGTTATGTAGAAGCACAGCCAAGACAGGAAGGAAAGCTCCATGCTCTCACAAGCCCTGGTAGACAGACTGCTCCCTGCACCAGGTCCCACCCAGGAAGGCATAAATGTAGCTTAAAGGTATGTATGTTGGCAGGTGCGTGACTTGAACTTTGGTTTTTTTGGCTTCTGGCTTTATCTCTCAGAGTAAGGCATCTGGCCACCAGAAACTAAGGTTGTCCCCCACTCAGGTCTTCAGTGGGTCAGTTAGTATAACTGATCTGAACTAGTCAGATCTTAAAATGGAGGCACCAAACCTCATAAATTTGTGGCAGTGAAATAAAATGAGAAATTTTTCTTTCATCACACCGGAATTCCCCAACCTCAGTATAATGAGGATGGTTTAAAAAATAAAGTCCCTGAGCAATGAGTCATATTCTCCTTAGGAGAGGTCTGCAAGGCTGAACCCAGACTGCCATTAACGCTAGTGGTTAGCATACATCATAATTTTTTTTCTTAACTGGAACGCTGTGCATCAAATAAGAGGATTGATTATACTGTGCAGTTGGTTTTCCAAAGGAGTGCGTATGTGTCTATGCTGTAGTCAGCAGTGCAGCATAGAGCTATCTGATCAAGCTTAAAGTACCTGGACTGGGGTCCGAAAGTGATTTAGTTCTGCTACAGCTTTCCATCGCCTCCTGCTTCTGGCCTCATTTTCAAACTAGGGCTGCACAGGAAAATCATACCAAGCAGGTTATGTTAGCACTGTTTCACCTTTCGCTCTCCCCTTCCATTCTCAGAAGGAAAGTCCGTGCAGAGTCTCATACTGATAAGCAGGATGACTGCCACTGCCTTAGCTGCTTGCTGAAATATAGTTCTGGTATCTTCACTCTATGCTCTGCACTTTGCACACTTGCCATGACCAGCCTCTTCCTGCCAAACGACAAGGCTCTGTCATGAGCAGTGTAAAATAACTCTTTTCTCAGTTTTAGGGGAAAAAAATAAAAAGGAAAAAATGAAAGCAACAGAAATAACTTTGAAAAACGAAACTCTCCTGTTTTATGGAAACTCAGCATCAAAAAAGCAAGTGGAAACTGAAACAGAAACTTGCCCAGGGAATGACTTGGCACATTTTGAAAAGCAGATTACAAAGGGGAAGCTCCCTCTTCGGGAAGCCAAAACTTCGCAGAACACTTGCATTTGTTATTTAAATAGTAAAACCAGAACAATTGTTATTTAAAAATAACAACAACAGAAGAACAGGAACATAGAAATTAAAGGCCAGAAGGATGATCTTACTTCAGTCCCCTGCAAATCGAAAGCGAGCACATGAGCGAGGGCTCTGTTCACAAGTTCCAGGGCACCCACGCTCCAAACTGTACAATAGTTCCTGCTGCCCTGCAAACAAACCAAACACCTGCGAGAAGACAGAAACAGGATCACTATGACAGTGTGGTACCAGAAGAAAGCAGGAGAGGTTCAAGACAGCTCCAGTATACAGGATTGCTGCAATATGAAATAAATTATTTTTAAAATTATCCTGCAGGCTGCCAGTTCTTGAAAAGATATGGCTGAGAAATGAATTGGTGAGTACAGACTGAAATGTTTCTGCACAGATAGCATGAAAAACATATTAAAGTATGAGAGAGCCGTAGGCTTATTTCCTGCATGGAGGAGAGGAAAGGAAACCAGTACAAACAAATTCGTGAGAAGAATAAAACTGTATTGGGAAAAGCCTTGGAGTTAGACAGTTTTCTTGTTTTGAGGGAAGATACAACCTCAAAACTCACATTCCTCTCTTACTGTTTGTCAATACTTTGATTTTGGACTTGAAAGGGAAGCTTGCATTCCCGCTATCCGACTGCTAGCAAAAGGAAAAATGCCCACCATGTGTATCTAGCCTCTAGTACGGAGCTGCGGTTGAGAATTACAAAGGATGTGGGAACAATCACAAAACTTAATGTACAGTCAGTGTTTTCTGGATAGCTTTTCGGTGGTTTTAGTTCAAGTTCCTTCCCAAACTGAAAGCAAGACTTTTAAGGCAGACCGTGCTAGAGGGCCCTTTCCCATAGCTTTGCACAGAGGTCTCTCGCTCCCCCAATAAACCAACAACTGGGACAAAGTGCTATTTTCATAGCAGGCAACCTAGCGGGGAATCAGCAAAAAATGTCTGTGATAGCAGGGATGCTGAAAAGAGGGTCCTGAACAAACACAGGGGAGGAGTCAGTGACGGAAAGCAATGGCAGGAGAGAGCCAAAGGTGCAGCCCCTGGAGGGACAGCACTCAGCCTCCCGCATCCCAGGGGCACGCAGCACGCGGAGGTCACTGACCCTGCCTCCCATACATCTTCCGGCAGCGGTGTCCATATGACTGGCTGTCCACAGGAGAAGGTAAATATACCTGTATGTGTGTCGTTAGGATATGAACAAGAAACAACGAGGGCAGAAGTACCCAGTTTCATTTCCTGCATATTTATCCTACAGTCACAAGTGGGATTAATACATTTTCCAGATTATCAATATCTGAAGATTTATGTTCTCTTTCTTGGTCTTTTCCGGGTCCTTCCTTCATACTATATGAAGATCTCTCTCCAGACATATCTCTGGGATAGCGGAAGCTGCAGGGAACATTCTGCGACACTCCTCAAATTGCTCTGATGCATAGTCAGGCCTCTGGCAAGCCGGCCTCCGTCCCTGCTGGGGCTGCTTGTGCCCTGGCACCTCTGCTCCTCTGGGTGGGGACCGCAGTTGTCACTGCAGTTCATGGGGAAGGATGGCCATGATCTGCGCTGATCTCAAAGGGTCTTGAGGTTCAAGGTCTGTCTCTAAGACATGAGGACAACGCTTATTCCTGTACTTCGGGGGACAGGTGGGCAACTAAGTTTATACCAGACAGTGCCCCCTCATTTATCCAAGAATGGATAGTGGTCAC